TTTAAGATTAGCACAAATACTACATACATACATACATACATACATACATATATATATATATATATATATACACACACACACACACACACACACACACACACATATATATACACACACACATATAGCAGTTCAAGGCCATTCCTCTTCATGATATAAAATTCAATTCCTCTCTTAACTGAATTTTCTTAATTATACTAAAGTGGACCTAAGATTTTTTTTTTCAGTTTTGTGTACTATGGAATGTTATGCTTATGTATATGAAGGGTTAAACCTGGGAATGCAGTTTACATTCATATTTTCTCACAATCCCATTAAATTGCAAAAACATTTTTTTTCGAGAAACCTTGTAAAACCGCTATGAAATTACATTCTTGCAAATGGATAAGAGAGTAATCAAACTTTTGGGACTTCTCCTTGCTTTAACGTCTCTGTTTTCTCCCCTTTTTAGTCCAGCCAGTTAAAAGTAATTGCCAGTGACTTTATACACATTATTCTGAGATACCTACCTTCTACATGGACATTAACAGTTGAATAATGTGAGTGAGCCCTTTATGCCCTAATTATTGCCAAGAGATTAGTTCTTCAACATTGGAAAGACAAAATTTTCCTGTGCACTGCTTGGAGAGTACAAGCATGAGTTAAATTAGTCTGGTTGCCCTAGGACTGATGAATCTTTTTTCCTTGGCCACGCATCCTGGTCCTCATTAACGCCAGATTTTTTTCCTCAGTCTGGTCTGTTAAGGATTGTATTAGTGAGCTCCAGCTTTAATTTAACTCTGACTTGGACTTTCTTATGTTAGAATTTTTTCCTTTTTTTCCCTTAGATTTAGCTATTTTTTCTCTATTTTTCTCCTTTATTTTTTTCCCTTTCTTTGACTTTTTGTCTCTGACAGCTTGCTTCAGGTAGGAATGGACGTGGGGAGTGCTCCGCTGTCTGCGCCGCTTAAGACGGCAACGGAGTTTAGTCAGGAAAGCTTTCTCGCTCTGACAGGCGGCCCAGCTCTCGGCAGCTCCGGGAGCGGGCAAAGGTTTGCCTTTGTTAATTTTGGCTTGCTGCCTCACTGCGGAGAAGTGTGGCTGCCATTTCAGCTTACGGCTGCCATTTTCTCCCTCCTCACCCTCACTTACAGTGGCGGCCATTTTAAAAAGGGAGTTTTTTGTGCCCTTTTTATCGGCCATTTTGCCACTTTTCCGTTTCCCTGCAGATTGCTGTCAAGTGATCATTTTTCCACCATTTGATCTGGGGATTCGGCTCAGCCCCGCTGCTTCCTCAAGGGTGCCTCCAATCTGCATCCTCCAGTGGTTCACCGGTACCCGACCTGGCAGTTATCGGTGGTTCTACAGGCCCTCACTTCAGCTCCCTTTGAGCCTCTTTGATCACTTCTCTCCAGCACCTCACTCTTAAGACAGTTTTTCTTATTGCTATAACATCCGCAAGGAGAGTATCAGAGCTGGCGGCTCTATCTGTCTGAGAGGACCTATGTATTATACATATGGACAGAGTTGTACTTCGCCTGGACCCGAAAGTTAACCCAAAAGTCATCCCAAAAGTTAACACATGGTTCCATAGGGTGCAAGACATGATTCTAGCAAACATTTATCCGCATCACCACTGCTGCCTGGGCAACCTAGGCCACAATAGACGAAATCTGCAGAGCGGCTATGTGGTCATCCCCATCACCCTTTGTCAGAAACTATAAATTGGACATGTTTGCTTCAGCCGAGGCATCGTTCGGCAGTAGGGTTCTGCAGGGGGTTGTTTCCACGACCAAATCCCAGGAGAGTTTCTTCCCGTATTAGTGACAATTAACTTGGGTATGTCCCATGCTTGGACTCTCCAAGCAGTGCACAGGAAAATGACCATTGGCTTACTTGAAGGGTCCTTTTCTGTGCACTGTGGGAGAGTTCAACCCTGCCCAGGGTCTCCGGCTGCAGGGATTCAGGGCCATCACATGGACTTGGACAGTTTTTTTCTTATCACATCATTACCCTTCACTGGTACCAGAATTGGTCAAAAATCTGGCATTAAGGAGGATCAGGAAGCATGGCAAGGAAAAAAAATCCTCAGTCCTCAGACTAATTTAACCCATGCTTGGATTCTCCCGCAGTGCACAGAAAAGGGACCCTCCAGGGAAGCCAGTGGTCATTTTGGCAACAATTATCCACTAAATTGAAGATTTGTTACTTGTGCCTTTTGAATGAATCAATTGAATGTCAATTATACATGAACTATTACGATATAATATGGGTAAGTTTTATTGAAAGCATTTTATCAAAAATGTCATGTACACACCCTCGCACACACACAGCATTTTCTCTGTTTTCATTATGTTTTCATTCTCCCCCAATTGTTTTTAGTAAATAAAGTAAAATAAATGATAATTGACTACACTATTTTTTTCTTTCTGTTTAAAGCCAGAGACAGCTGCAACACTGAGACGCACAGTAGAAACTTTGCTAGAAAGAGGAGCAGTGGTGAGGAATTTGGAAAACCTGGGAGAAAGAATGCTGCCATATAAGATTGTAACACATGATCAGCATCACGTCAGAGGAGGGTATGAGCTACTTAATTATTGCATGTAATTTTGCTAGACTGAATATAATTCAAAGAAGTTATGATAATCACAGAAATCTACAGAAGAACAATACTGGAACTAGAGCTTTGGTATTGCCTTAGCTGTTCCTACAGTGTCCCAAAACTTGATGCCTAACAGATTAGTTAAACTACACTGCTGTCTTTTACCAATACATTAAATTAGTGATTAGTAATAGGAATTGTGGTACAACAAATCTGAAGAATACCCAAATTGAGGAATTGCTTAAGGGGAGAGGATGATTCTTTGTCAAAGCTATTATGTGCATCTGTTTCTTCCCTATGGATACATATCACTTCTTTCAGTTGCATCCAACATTTGAAATATACTGTCATTACTGTCATTTCAATGAATGAAAATCACTGACATTTCTTTGTTAGTTTGTTAATTAGATCAATTCATATAGTTACTCATTTTCCAATTGCAGTTCTAGGCAAATAACTTAAAAATGATATACATATTCCTAATTTATATTAATCAATATTTAATAACTGCAAAATGAGATGCAAGAGTATTCCCCCAAATAAATAAATGGAATAGTTCTTTTTGGTCACATTGACTTCATTACTTGTTTCTACTTAATAGTTCTTCCAATTCCTGTTTTTCCAGTAAATGTAGCGTGTATAGGATTGCAGACATAGAACCAAAATGCTATATTCCCTTCAGTAAGAAATATATTTGTTATATAGATTTTTTAAAATCCAGATTAGCAGTTTTGTTTCAATATGATATGTATGTATTTCTGAAGAGCCATGGTGATACAATGGGTTAGAATGCAGTATTGCAGGCTGACTGACAATTGCCAGCAGTTCCAGTCTCACCAGCTCCAGGTTGACTCAGCCTTCCAAATGAGGAGCCAGATTTTTGGAGGCTACATGCTGACTCTGTAAACCACTTAGATAGGTTTGTAAAGCACTGTGAAATGGTATATAAGTTTAAGTGCTATTGCTAAATGGATCAGAACTGATTCATTCTCTTTGGTTTATCTGATATAGTTATCCGATAACTATAATGATAAAGGCTAAATTTGATTCTGCTTGTTATTTATTTATTTCTATTTCTATATTTATAATAAATAAATAAACAAAATAAAATTGATAAGCTCATCTGGTATAATATCATTGGCCGATACAACACTGAATTAAGATTTTAAAGTGTTAAAAAATGATTTTTTTCAAGTTCTGTTCTGAATAAGTAAAGGAGAAAATCGATTTAATTATTCCTGTGTTTGCTTATTTTAAAGCAAATGTTATGAGCAAAACCAAATGCCATTTTATGATAATCTATGGCATAGTGAGAATTATTTACAGGATTAATTATTTAGGTGATATTTTGTTGTAATGACTTTTAAAACTATAAGAATACCTTATGAAAGACAACTTGTCAATAAAGAGAGAGAAACATTGTTAAACAACTAGTATCATATAAAGACGACATTCAATACTGAAAATAATCAAAATAACAAACTGCAACATATCACCTAGGTCAGGGGTGTTAAACTCAAGGCCCGCAGCCCGGATCCGGCCCACAGGGTGCTTAGATCTGGCCTGCGGGGCCACTCTGGAAACAATGAAGGACTGCCCCATGGTAACTCAGGCAGCGAAAGTGGCCACCACAGGTGCCCCCAACACAAGTGATGTTGAGCTGGCCATGCCCCCCTGGCTACACCCCTCCCCCCCAAAGTGAAACACAATCTTGATGCGACCCTCAATGAAACGAATTGCATCTTTTACTGTTGTGGAAAACTGCTGTTGTAGAGAAATGTTACTATTCTGAGAAATGGGGAAAATTGAATTTTTAGAGGCTGTTTTTAGCCAGGGTAGAATCAACCAGAGAAATAATGGAACAGAATAGCAATAGTATTTGGACTTATATACCACCCTATATGCATTACAGCACTCTCTGGGCAGTTTACAATGTAAGCATTATTTGCATATTGCCTCCAACAATCTGGGTCCTTATTTTACCAACCTTGGAAGACTGAGTCAATCTTGAATGCTGTCAGGCTTGAACTCCAAGCGGTAGGCAGAGTTTGCCTACAATACTGCATTTAACTTTGCGCCACCAGGGTTCCAATAATCCAGTGACCATATTTGTTTCCTTGAGAGGCAAGCAGTAAAATATTTGGTTCAAACAAATATTGTTAGACAGTGTGCTGGACACTGGGATGGTACTAACCAAATCTGCTGTGAGCTCTGTTAGAATCTAAATGTTTTTTATTTCTAAAGAACCATATAAATTGTACTTAACTGAACTCATGTGGTACTATGGTATTGCCTGGGACCTCCATTCTTCACTGACTCCATTAGAGAGGGGGGCACTTTGCAGCTGTGCTTTTTCTATCTGCATAACATATTCTTCACAATGGGCTCTATCTAAATTGTGTCTTGTCAGGCTTGAGCCAAAACTTTTATGTTTTGTCACTGGAAACTGCCTATGTATCATGAAACAGGATAGGACAGGAAGTGATTAATAAATAACCAGTGCATGAAAAGGCATGTATATGTGTCGTGTTTTTCCATATATAGATATAAATCTATAAAAAACACTAAAATATATCCGTCCTATTAAACTTATTTAATTCTGTCACTCGTATCTGTTGCTATAAATTAAACAAGTTGCTTAACAGGCAGGTAAAAATTAACTAACATTATATAGTCTCACCTACTTGCCCTCCTGGATAAATAGATAAATTTAATGGCCTTGAAATCCAGTGATTCTTGCATGTTTACATAGCAGCTTTGAAAAGAAATGGTTCCTGCCTTAGAGCTCAGGGGCCAGAATAGTTCAGGATTGTTGTTTTATATTCCGTTGATAGGTTTCATAAAAGTTTTTTATTTGCAATGGAGAAGAAAATTGTAATAGATTTGGACTTTTAGATCTGATCCAATCTTTTTAAAATTCATATGAATTTCAATTGTGGCTCATTATTGTGTAGGATATGCTAGTTTTCCAGCACATTAAACCATTAACATTCAGTTATTTAGCACTGTACTACATATTTTTCTTCTGGGTGTCATTTTATATAAATGTGTTTTTGCTCAGCTGGATGCTAGAACTGGATACTAAAAGTAGAATAGGGGTTTACAATATTTTACGAAGCATGTGAATATTTAAACTGCAGTGGATATATAAAAAGGCCACAAAGGCCGTATTTGCATGAGAATAAATTCCTCCTCATTCAGTGGAATTGAATAGACATGTGAATCAGGGGTGAAATCTACTTACCTTCGCTACCAGTTCATAAATGTGAGCGCTCGCTCCACTCACACACGCCATCTCCGTGCATGCACAGGACCTAATATGTATGCACAGAGTGTCAAAAATGGACGTGATGATGTCTGGGCAGATGGGTGGAGTCTCCTACTGAGCATGCCTGCAAAGATAAGTAGAACAACGAGGGCGGGGAGAACCCACTGTGCCACACAATTTAGATAGCTAGAAAGCAGGAAATCCTGCTTTCTAGCTAATATAAATTGCATGTCACAGCTGATTGTCGAAAATACCAGTTTGGCTGAATCAGTAGCATTTTTTACTACCAGTTCGGGCAAACCGATAGCTTTTTTTACTACCGGTTTGAGTGAAGCAGTCTGAATTGGTAGCATTTCACCCCTGATGTGTATGTTTTTCCTTTGTTGTACTAGCCGAGGAGCCTCTTGTTCTAATTTGTACCTGTCCTCTACTTTGTACCTGCTGTCTTATTGAATGGGAAGATGGGACTGAAATGGAAAGCTGCATTCCATTTGTCCTTCTATAATATTCCTAGGGAATACTGTTAACCTATATTAGGTCAACCATGTTTCAGATGTTAAAATTGGTAATTTGATCTTTTCCATGTTTGTTTACCAAACATTCTGAGTACCTCTGAGAAAACCAGTTTGAGGCCTGAGAGATAGTAGACAAGGCACTTTTCTACTCCCAAATCTCATAATCAGCTATATTTATAAGTGTTCAATGACAGAGCCTAAAAATAATGATGATATATTCTTAAAAAGGTGAAGCTCAGCATAAAACACAGCTTTTCTGGCCCTGTTCTAAACAGATTGTCCCATGGGCATTCTGTCACAGTAGAATTATTTGAATCATCTGAGAACCGTTTTCCCATTAGGGTTGTGAGAAAGGTTTGGTCCAGGTGCTTGTCTTTTGCTGATTAATTTTTTAAAAGTATCTTGTGGGAAGATAGCTTGTTGATATATATTTGAATTTCATAAAATGTAATATTGATATAAATTAATAATATCAATATCAAATTTATAATCTTTATAATCTATACATTTTAATTTGGTATCTGTAAAATTAGATATCTGCGTCTCTTTTAATTTGAAAGAAATAATTCTGTGACATTTTTTTCTTCTTTGTAGCTGATATTTTGATGGGAAATAAGAGTACAAATATTACTCCATATTTTCATTGCCCATCTATATGCAAAACACAGAATTATGGTGGGTTTGCAATGAATTAGTGGGATTTAATTGATCTTTTTTCTCCTACATTGATAATACCACTGAGTTCTTCTAGAACATTCTCCCCTAGACCTAATGCCATCCAGACATATTATGCTACAGTTTCTATTAGTGCAACTAAGATAAACCACTACAGAGTTGTAGTCTTAACATTTCTGGAAAACTATAGCTGGCATGGACTGCTATGGAGAATTTGAGTTGTATTTCATTCATTGTCTTGCATTTTTGCGAATAACTTTTGATCTTGGTTCCTTTCCCTTTTCAATTCCAAAAGAATATTTACATGTCAATTCACAGTTCATTGCTTTAAGTGAAGGCAATTGTGATGCTTCTTTGCACATTGCAAAATTGTTGGGATGCATAAAACTGCAATTGTTGCTGGCTTGATAATCTATTTTCTGTTGACAGGCAGAACATTAGCCAAGCTTCTAAACTGCAATATTTTTTGCTTGTTTAAGTCTACATGTTATAATTTACAAAAGAAAATTGATGTTTCTAAGGTAGTTTTTATTGTTCAAAAGAATAAATAAAACAGTCAGCTCATTCTAAAGAATTACTGTCTTGTAATATGCACATTGAGATAGATTTGTTGATATATTTCTGAAAAACTTGTAAACAACTGGCAAGGATTTTCTACTCCCAGCCTTTAAATGGGAGTAACATCAAGCTCAACTCCTGGTAACTTCCTGGATGCAGCCATGCCATTTGCAATAATATGAAATTGGTTTTGCTGTTGCTTTTTTAGAATTTTTTTTACTTTCCAGTCTAGTCTATACTCATGAATTCCCTGGAAGTTCTTATCCAAAGAAAGCATGAGATGTGTAAGATGAATAGAGAAAAATGTCTAAGAAAAATGTAAATTATTTAATGTACATTGGATATGTTAAAACACACAAGCCCCTCAAACATGATAAAGTACTGTTCTTTTGAGGGGAATAATTATAATTAATAATAATAATTAATAATAACAACAACAACAATAGAATTGAAGAAAAAGAACTAGAAAAAATAATGAAATATTGCGATCTGGCCATCGAAAACTACATGGCTATGGATGAAGCATGTAACAGTGATACCCATTGTCATCGGGGCAGTTGGCACCGTGTCCAAGAATTTTACAAGGTACATCAACAAATTGCAGCTTCCTTCAATAACACCAGCGGAACTGCAAAAAACTGTGCTACTCGGAACATCTTATATTTTAAGAAGGTACTTGGTTGATACCTAGGATGCTGGCAGCCAACCATATCAACCATTAGCACCAGTCACTGGTATTTGTGATGCATTTTTGAATGTTCAGTTGGCTGAGATTCATGTTTAATGAATAAAGTATATATAATAATATAATGTAAAAAGGGAAATAATATAGATAAATATTTAAATTCTGACTTTCCTCTTTGTGGGTTCTCATACCATTTGGCAGTACTATCGGAGGACATTTTAGAAACTGTACTCTAGTTTTTGTACTTAACTTGCTGTGTAATATATATGGTTGCTATTCGTGCTTAAATTTAGTTAAACTTTTTGTAGAAATTTCAGGCTGAACCCGAGGATGGGGTCAAGCACATCATTGGTTTAGAGTCTCATCGTGCCCACAAGATATAGTATATATTATGTCTTTTAATATAAAACCTTTTAACTGTTTTTTTCTTATTTCCAGGTATTTTTTGGTAGACTTTGATTCCTCTCCAATAATTATTACAAAACTATTGGACCATTTAAAACGGGACATTGATATAATCAGATCTAGTGTTTTAAGACATCGTATAGAGCCGACTGAAGAATGTATAGGCATGATTCCAGTCAATTATGTAGAAGAACTACAGAAGAAGAAATAACCAAAAGTGATAGTAATATTATTATCATTAATTCAAACTTAACCATAAGCATGCGTGAGATGTGGTATGATGTTTCAACCTAGTTTAATTTGACTACTATAAAGCCCATATCCTCTACTCTTATTTTTGTTATTTTTGAAAATCAGAAAGCTTTTTCTCCCTTCTTATTGCTTCTCTTATTTAAATTTGCTGTGCCCCAAAAAGCTAATCCTGATATTTTTTAGAACTTGTTTCCAAGTAAACAATTTTAAGAGCATTTGTATCATTTAGATATAGCATTAATAAAAACTGTAAAATGTTAAATGAAATTGTTGAGAATTACAATAAAATGTTTAAAAATCAGTTTTATAGACCAATCTACATAGTCTGTTCTCTGGCATATTGTTTCCTCCATTCAGCACAGCTAAAATCTAATGAGTTTGAGTTAATGGAAGTTTAAAAAAAAACGATAGCTTTTTAAAATTCCAACAGTTTAAAATGTAATTTTTGTTTTCAAAATAAGGGAAGATACTATCTTGTTATTTTATTATATTCTTAAATGTAATCTCTATGGACATCTTATTTTCTTGCTACAATAAGTACATAACATTGATAGTTGAATCAGTTTCATCATTATACCAGCTTTAAATACATTCTCTGTAAATGAATTGATTAAATAAAGTTGTGACAATTGCCTCATTTTATTCATTTTTTCTATATTTTGCTTTTTTTCATTCCTTAATATATCAATATGTTATCTACCAAACTGGGAAATCCTTAAATCCTTTCCTTAAAACTAACTAGACATTAAACAAAAAGAGTAGATTCACATGGTTATTTCTTCAAAAAAAAACAAGGCCACATTTAATATAATTAAGTATTTAATAGTAGTTTTGATTTTAAATTCTTAAAAACCAACATTAGACATCAGCTATTAAACAGGTGTTAGTCTATCCCAAGAAAACAGATCTGCTCCATATCTGCTGGAGCCATCTTCCCTAGCCTGGAATTCCTTTTCTGATTCATTGTTATAGGAATCCAATAGATCTTCAAATTGAGCAGATTGCACTCAAGGAATCAAAACTCTTGAAGAATTATGTCCCAGACTAAAAAACTTGAGTTCAGAAAAATTGCTGGTTCTGTACTGGTAGAAATCAATGTGGGCAAATTCTGCTAATGTTAAGGAATGTTATACAAATTTGTCTAAATAATTTAAAATAAAAAAAAACGTGCTAAAGAAAAAGCTGGGGAAATAAGGCATAATGCACATTTTTCAGTGACATGTACATCAAGATGAGAGACACAGATATGTTAAAACAAAAAATGGAAATTTGTCCATTCTCAATTATAGCAAAGCATTATATTGTAATATGGTTGTATTCATGAGCAAATATTTTCATCAGAAATATCTTTATGATCTATTTGTGGCTGTCTTATAATGAAATACATTCACTTCTTTCAAATTCCTCCACTTGCCCTTGTATGCAGTTTCCTTTTTAATCCAAATATAAATATAATTGAGTCTCTCTGCTGCCCAGATCTGTAATTAGTTATTTAAGGTTTGCAGTATGCATTAGTTTTTCAAAGCCCAAATAACTGAAGTTTTCTTTGGAGTATACATTGATTTAATTCCAAGGATAAAAGTGTTTCTGAGAAAATGTTGTTTTTAATCAGGTGAGAAGAACAGTTGTATATAAAGTAGTAGGTCATATTTTCCTACTTACATATTTATATGATATTTCAGGGACGCAGTGGCTAAGATGCTGGGCTTGTTAATCAGAAAGGTTGGCAGTTCGAATCCCTAGCACCATATAACAGAGTGAGCTCTCGTTACTTGTCCTGGCTTCTGTCAACCTAGCAGTTCGAAAACATGTAAAAATGCAAGTAGAATAGGAACTATTTTTGATGGGAAGGTAACAGCATTCTGTGCTCCTTTGGCATTTAGTCGTGCTGGCCACATGACCACGGAGACGTCTTCGGACAGTGCTGGCTCTTCAGCTTTGAAACGGAGATGAGCACCACCCCCTAGAGTTGGGAACAACTAGCACATATGTGCGAGTGGAACCTTTACCTTATGATATTTCAAGATCTGGAGTCAATCAGAGCTATAGTTAATTAGGTTAGCATTTTCAAAATACCAGCATTTGGCACTGTCCTTTAAATAACTAGAAATAGATTTCCATAAAATGTATTTGCCAGTAAGAAACAAACAATACAGTCCTCTTGGATCCAAACCAGCTTTGTTGGGCAAGGATTATGTCAGGTACTCGTAAAATACTTGAAACCAAATATAGTTAGATGTGCAAATTATTTTTTGAAAATTCCAAGTGTGCTTTGAAAAGCTTCCAGAACTTTGAAAATTAAGGGGGACTGGGAAAAAGAAAGAATCTTAATTGCCCTTCAGAGAGAGAGTTCTTAGGCTACAAGTTAAAAGATACCTTTCAGCTGTTCTTCAGGGGTCTTTTCCTTTGGGTGGTAAGAAAGGGCAAAATAAGTAATGGGAAAAATGAAGAGGGTTGTAAATGAAAACTAATCAGCGGTATCTTTTCTGTTTTCAAAAAAAGGAACAATTTTTGGAGCTCTGAAATAAATTTTTTTAAAGTCTTTCATAAAATACCATGATTGCCATGTCTAGTCATAAAATTCTCATTGATCAATGAGGTCAATTACCACCATTGCTACTATGGTCCTCTCCCCAGACAAGGGCTTTGTACTACTCAAGATTCACTTGGACTTTTTTCCAAGTCAGATTTGTAGCGTAATTCCCAAGTCAAAAGAATAGTAGCAATCCATTGCTTTTTCTGGAAGTATGACATTGTTATAATGAATAAATACGATTCCAGCTTTCCATTTAGTTTATGTATTTATTTCAGCTTCATTAAAGGAACAACATCAGAAGTCAGATGAAATACCCATCAACATCCTAAGTTATTGACATGTGTCTTATTTTGGTTGAACATATCTTATATATTCAAGACAAAATAAAAGTTAAACCTCATATCCCAATATTTTTCAGTTAAGGCCAATGGTTTTTCTGGAGATTGGGAGGAGTAGGATTGCCTCTTTATTTAGACAATTTATGTAGCTGCCTATCTCAAAACAGTGGCTCTGGATGGTATACAGAGGATTAAAACCAATGAAACATACAAGAATAGAAAATAATAATGCATATTACAGCCTAGAGTCTAAAATCCAGTCCTGAACAGTACAGATCAATCAACAAAATCACTAAGAGGACTAATTTAACCTTCCCAACTCAGTGCCTGAAGGTGCATGCAGATCTTTAATGCTTTTAAAAAAGCCAGAGGAGTCAGTGTCATCCAGATCTTTAGAGGATCCTGTTCCATAGGGCAGTTGCTACAACAGAAAGCATAACCTCTAGGCCCCATACATTAACCTAAAGTAATGGAAGGGACCTTCAGCATGCCATCTTTACTAATTCTGATGGAATAAACAGAAATGACTAGATAGACTAGGAGTCAGCAATCCATGGCTCTGGAACTGCATATGGCTCATCTTTCTGCTGTGGCTCCTTGTCAGTCGGCGCCACAATTTTGAGAGAAGCTTACGGTTGGGAGGGGGGAAAGCACAGCGTGCCAGGAGGAGACACTGGCAAGGGGTGGGTTTTCCGATCAGCTCCACAGTTGATAGTGTTTTCGGTTAGAACAGGTAGAGGAAAAAGGATGCCGTGTTAGGAGGAAACTCTCTGGTGGGGGAACCAGACTTCTGGGTGGCTCCAGAATTGAACAGGGGTTAGGACCTTTGTGGCTCTTTGAGTGTTTAAGGTTGCCAACCCCTGAGATAGACACACAAGTATCCTGACTCCATCCATGCTACATATGTATTAAAGACAAACTAGGAATTTACTTCTAATTTATCCATGTCTATTTGAGGCTTATTGTTGAAATCCATTATTAAATTGAATTATTAACTTTACACAACAGATTGGTAATCCATGGTCCACAGGTCTCCTGCGTTCCTAAAGTCTCCTTTGCCAATGAAAAGTTATAACGTGGATTGGGACTTCTTCAACTTTTAATTTTCTGTTAGCTTTGTGCTTCAATTAAATTAAATTTTCCTAACAATAACTTAATTAAACATTTTAGAGGCTATTTTTGTATTTTAGTCCTGCTTTGGGTGCAGTTACACAAATACATTTAATCTGTGGTTTAAATAGGGTTAGCTCTGATACAAGGAGAAAGTGGTCAGAAGAAAAGTTATGATTCTGTGAAAGTAAGCGATGTTTGTAAATTCAGTTAACATGTGGATTAGAAGCAATCCTGACAATTACCATACATTTTCAAAAGTCTGATCAAGACTCTACAGCAAGTTGGACTTCATAATTGCCAACATTCATTAAGCTATGAAACTGCTAAATGCAAAAAATCTCAAATATATTCCCCATGGGAGAATTTTCAAAATATTTTTAATTTCATCTTATTCACATGTACATGAAAGTAATACCAGTAAATCCAGTAAGAGTTTTCTATAAGGATACATCTGGGCTGTGAATAAAAAATAGGTCTTAATATTGCTCAAGAACAATTACAGTATTATTTCATCTGCTGACAGTTTGAATCCTGTCAATAAAAAACTCCCTGCAAACTGAGAAATGAGAAAATGTGGGAGTTTTACTGCAAGTATTGATCAATTTGACATAGAATATTATTTTGTTTTTGATAGAATTTATGAAACAATATAAAGAATTGTAAACAAGATCTCCGTCTCACAGTCTAGCCATGCACAAGTACAGCAAACTAATTCATAATCCAAAACTGGTAAGAACATCAACACAACATCATCAGCATTTCTTCTTGCACCAAGATAAGAAATGCTTTGAATGCCACCAATGGACTCTAGGTTAAACCATATAAACCATTACTTGGAATAGTGTTAGGTGGCACAGTAAATTGGTGAATATCTATTTTGAGCAAAAATTTAGCATTTTATATAGGACATATGGTGCCTGGTTATTTCTCATTTTTGCCAGAATATCACTCATATAACATCCCTACCTGTCAAGACAGTGATCACATCCAGGCAGTTCAGATAGATAGCACATATTTTGGGTTAATTCTTAACATTAACATCTTCCATCAAGATGGAACCCACATTTGTGGTTCAAAGTTTGGTTCTTCCTGCAAATCCTTGAAGAGTGTTGAATAAACATTGCCAAATGCAAATATCCTATGGCTGGTAATTTCAACATCAGAATTGGCAAAGGTATCAACAGTTTAGTCCAAAGGATAATGATATTTGCCCTGGTTCTCCATGAATAAATTACTAAAAAAGAGAAAAAAGGAGGGAGGGGTTCCATATTGAGTCTGGCCTTTAAATAAAAGTTATACAGCATCCATAGTTGTAATTAATGGGCATTATACTTTTTCTAAACTCATTTGGAGCCAGTGTCATCAATACTAGGTAACTCAGTAGATCTACTGACCACTAATCTCAGTGAGAAAATTATTCCTTTTTTTAAAAAAAAAAAGTTGAATCAAAAGGATCTTGCACTTTGACCCAATTCCAATGTGTATCATACTTTTAGTCCAATTAATGCAGTAGTGTGCTAAGCTGCAGTTTACTACTACCTGCCATCCAAACTGCTTTCAAGGTTTTTGCAAACACCACAATGACAATTGAGTCAAACATGTTGTCTCCACTGATGTCTAAGAGTTGATTATTGTCTCCTTATAATGGAT